TCAGACCTGCCCCTGCTACAGAATGCTAAAATACCTGAGTGGAGAGGAACCTTGACTGAGATTATTCTAGGACTTAATTCTTTCAACCCAATCAACTAAAGAAGCATTAGTTTGTACGGCTTAGGCATTCGGAACATTTAAATGTGTTCTATGGTGAAGATCTGTTTTTCCAAACAGGCCCCATTCAAATTCATTTACTATTTGGTCACTCACAATGCCCCAGTGGTTGGCATTCCCAGAAGGCTCACCCTCCCAGACACCCTGGCTGAGGCAGGTAGTTCCTTTACTTGCTTTATAAATAAGTCAGAAGGCAACTGACTGGCCAGTATGTGTTTCCAATACCAGGAGCAGTGGTAGGTCAACAGGCAAAACGTAACAGCTTACTTGGTACCTTAAAAAGACATTTTACACCGGAATGCAACAATTTGAGGATGCAATGAGCCAACTGCTGCCTTTGTACATCAAAAACCACTTCACAAAATGAGATAGCTACACAATGGCAACAAAAATCAAATATGGACTGGACTACTATGGGTACGAGTCCCCTTTTGGAGTGTGACCCCCAGAAGCCTCTCCAGACACACACCGGTGTGCGTGGATGGGAACTGTTTTCAGATCAAGCTCAGTCTACACCTTTGCAGTTTTACTTTCCTCCCACTTTCCTTAATTATTAATATTGACTAACAGGTAGAAGATTGGTTCAACTGGACTGTGTGTGAGACTCACCTGGGAAGGAACACCAAAGCTCCATGTCCACCACCCAGCTTTGGATTTAGCACCCAGCAGAGATGTGTTTAAAGCTTCAGGCCATTCTCACATTCAGCCTACGCAGAGAAGCACTGATTCAGATGCTGACCATCTTTCTCCTAGAATTCTAGTGCTCAAGGTCTCTACATCTGCTTCGAACATCGCCTCAGAGACACCTGGAGGGAACATGCTTACGTTTTCTGTGTATTGAGCTATGACACATTTCACAGCTTACAAATTTGCAGCTGCTTTTTTGATATTGCTGGCAGGAATTACTTAGGGCTCAACAAAATTTCTAGGCCACCAAACCATTCAGCCATTCCTATTCTGAATCAAGATGTCCTAAGTTCTCAGCCCATCCTCAGATATTACAAACAGCAATACCCTTCCACCTCTGATATTTGAATATTTCTAAAAAGTCCAAATAGTAGCTCCCTGAGCACACAATCCAGTAGAGAAAATGAACAGCCACAGTAACCTGGGAAGAGGATCATTAGACAAGGAACCCAAAGAGGCACAGAGGAAGAACTCGTAACTGACAATTCAGGGAGAGCTTCCAGAGACAGCATCATTTTCACAGATTGTAGAAGGCTCAGTAGGAGTAGGTGGGTAAAAAGGGGCGAGGGGGGAATGTGTTCTGGAAAGAACACAAAGGGAGCAGCTGCAGAGTTGAGCAGGTGTCAGGCTGGGAAGAGCAGGGAAGAGCACTTGGGGATCAGTCTTTTCATGCCAGAGGAAACATGAAATCACTCCCTGAAGGACTTTAAGCAGATGCTCATCCTGGGAGATCACATTGCCTGGGTGCTGGAGAATGGACCTCGGGAGGGCTAGACCGGAGGTAGAAGGACAAAGCTAGCATGACCATCAAGGTGGGAAACGATGGCATAGTTTAGGGAAACAGTGGTCATGATGACAGTGGCAGAATGATGTCAAAAGTAAACAAGAGAAAGGGACAACAGGATGGGGAAAACACATCCCAGGCTCCTGGCTGGACACTGGACAAGATACACATTTGGGGAGAAAGGGAACCCCGTTTTTGAACACTGTGTTTGAGGAACCTGCTGACCATTCCCTGGCCTTCTTCAGTAGGCAGCTGTCACAATGGTAGCAACAGCTCACAAGGACACAGTGCTTTACAGCAGTCTCCTCTTATCCGTGGTTTTTTTTTTTTTTTTTTTTTTTTTAAACACTTTGTTACCTGCAGTCTGAAAATATTAAATGTAGGACCCCAGAAATAAACAATTCATAAGTTTTAAATTGCATGCCATTCTGCACAGAGTGATGAAATCTTGCACCAGCCCACCCAGGACGGGAATTATCCCTGTGTCCAGCATATCTACACTGTATACACCGCCAGCCCATTAGTTGGTTGGTAGCTGTCAGTTATCAGACTGACTGTGCAGCATCACAGTGCCTGTGTTCAAGCAACCCTTAATTTACTTAATAATGGCCCCAAAGTCCAACAGGAGTGATGCTGGCACATTGTTATTAGCTATCATTGTTAATCTCTTACTGTGCCTAATATAAATTCAGGTTTATCATACATATGTACACATAGGGAAAAAAACAGTATACACAGGGTTCAGAACTATCTGCAGTTCCAGGACCTTTGGGGGTCTTCGAACAATATTCCCCATGGGTAAAGGGGGACTACTGTATTATGTACCAGTCATTGTTTAATGCTTTACATTTATTAACTCAAAATCTCACAACTACTTTGTAAGATAAGAAGTATACCTTTTATGCTTATTTAATAGATGAAGATATGGAAGCACAAAAAAGCGATAAACATTGCCCCAAACCACACAGCCAGGAAGTGCCTGAGTCCAGATCAGATTCAGTGCCTTCACTTTGTGCTTTTTTTTTTTTTTTTAGATAGCGTTTCACTCTGTCACCCAGGCTGGAGTGCAGTGGTGCAATCTCGGCTCACTGCAACCTCACAGTTTGTGCTCTTAACCAGAATCAGCTACTGCCTCTCATGCACATAGCAGTGAAACTGTGAAAACACGCGGATGGCGTGGGAACACCGAGCTTATGGGAATACATAAAATCACCAGCAGTGTGTCCTGAATGAAAAGGTAGAGGGGCCCAAGACAGATTCCAAGCTTGTGCACAAGAGGTGCCCACAGGGCAATGGGTATGGGCAGAGAGGAAGGAGAAACCCTGGGTAACTGTGGGATCAAAAGCAGTAGAGAAAGGACCCTCAGGAGGTAGTAAAGTGCAGCATTAAGTATTGCTGGACATCATAGAAGATGTGTGTGGTGTGATAGGCTTTATCTTATCTATCTCAACTCATCTCATCTCATCTTATTTTGTGATGAAGTCTTGGTCTGTTACCCAGACTGGGGTGCAGTGGCATTATCTCAGATCACTGCAACCTCCGCCTCCCAGGTTCAAGAGATTCTCTCGCCTCAGCCTCTCAGGTAGCTGAGATTACAGGTGCGCACCAACACACCCGGCTGATGTTGTATTTTTAGCAGAAATGAGGTTTCCCCATGTTGGCCAGGCTGGTCTCAAATTCTGGACCTCAGGTGATCCACCCGCCTTGGCCTCCCAAAGTGCTGGGGTTACAGGCATGAGACACCACTCTCACCTGATTTTATTTTTTATAGCAAAGATTAGCCAACTGCAGCCTGCTTTTGAATGGCTAAACTAAAACTCATTTCCATATTTTTAGAAGGTTAAAAAAATGTAAGAATACGGGACAGAGACAGAGTGTGGCCCTTACCAAAAAACCTGCAGGATGACTTGTAACCTTGGCAAGAACAGATTCAGGGGAAAAAATGGAGACAAAAGCCAGACTGCAGGTTAATGGAGAACATAAAGAAGTAATGCAGCGCTAAATCAACTCTTTCATGACCTCTGGCTATGACAGAAGAGCTTTGTGGGGACCAGTGGGGTGGGGAGGAGGGGAAGAAGTTTGCTGGTTGTACAGATGGAAGAGAGGTGAGCACTACCCAACACACACAGGAAGAAACCATGAGAGGGAAAGGATGAACATACAGGAAAGAGGAGAAGCTGTGACTGAACAAGGCTCCCTTATGGGAAAGTGGGATACCAGATCCAGAGCACAGGCAAGAAAGGACACCTACTTTTGAGGTAACAGGAAGGCAGGAAAGGGTGGCTGCAGACAAGCTTCTAAATCTCCAGGCATAAAGGGAGAAACATCCCACTTAGGCTTCAGTTTTCTCCAAGTCATGTGCTGGTTGCGAGACAGGATTAGGGATTTAAGGAACAGGCTGGAGTTCTGAAAGGCCTGTAGTGAAGGCAGTGTGTGCTGACTCAGTGTGTTCTACAGAATGCAGAGTAGCCTCAAAGACCCAGTCAGTGTTAGAGACCACAAACCACAGACTTTCATTCATGTGGCTGCCCACCACAAGCCATAAGCATTTTCCAGATAATGGAACATATCCTGTATAAACTCTCAGGGACATTACAAACCCTGACGGACATAGGGACACCTAAAATACCTTACTGCTTTCATGCTCTTTGAAAATAAGATATTTAGATAGTGGTTAAGCACAGGCATTGGAGTCAGAGACCTGGGTTGGAAGCCAAGCTTTGCCACTTACTAGCCATGTAACTTTAGCTGAATGAATTATAATATTAACCTCATGACCCATGGTATAAAACAGGGTATCACTACCTGCCTCAGTTATCGTGAGGATTAAACCAGATTTATAAAATACAATAGTCTCGTGAGTGACAAGAGAAATGGCTCAATAAATGATAACTACATCATCATTATAAGTAGCAACAGTATTTTGCTGCCTCAGCATGACTGGCACTGGCTCAGCTTAGTGGCAGAATGAAGTCCGGGGGACAGATGTCAGGGCACTCTCACCTCCACACAACTTCCACTGTGTCACCAACCAAGTGACCCTGGCAGGATCCTTGGATATCAAGTTTCCAGTCTGAAGAATGAGGGGATCTGCAGAACGAGGGGACTGGACGGGTCACTACACAACTCCCAAGGCCTCTCCCATCTGTATCCAGGGCTAACACTGCTCTGAACTGTGAACACAGGAGGTTTCAATCAAGCACATTCCTCAATGCACTACTTTGTAGTAAAAAAGACTGAGTGTGAATCCTGTTCTTTAACACTTTTGAGAGCCTCATCCAGAAAGTAAGCGAATCGCAGCGGATGGGAGTGTGATGATTTAACACAGCGCACTCAGGGAGGAGCTGCTGGCGATCCCTCCTCCACCGCACCTCCCCGGGTAAACCCGTGGGCGACCCGCACGGCACCCTACCTGAGCCCTTGCTCAAAGGCTGCGGCCAGTCCTTGTGTTCCTGAGCACAAACAAACGGAGAACAAACTGGGACCTTATTAAAAAGGCGGGCTTCGGGGTGTTACTGCATTGAAAACCCTTAGGCGTCACGCATGTTCACGGTCCTCCCAGGCGAAGCCGCCCTGGGGACGACGGCAGAGCAGAGGCAAACTCAGGGCCGAGTGGAACCGCAGGACGCCTTGCGGGGCGTGGGGCTGTGGGATGGGCGCGCCCCCCGGGTTGCCCCGCCCGAAGCGGGAACCCGCGCGCGTGCTCGCGGGCACTGAGCTGGGTGTTCGCTTCCACCCCAGCGCTCCCCGGCCGGCGCCCGCGGGTAAGGGGCTTCGGAGACGGCGCGCGAGTGGGTCCGCACGAGCGGCCGCCGCGCCCAGGACCCTCGCAGCCCCGGCCCAGCTGTGAGGTCTGAGGTCGGCGCGGCTGGCTAGGCAGCGGCTCAGCGGGCTGGGGGCGCGGGGCCGAGCCCGGGAGGCCTGCCCGGCAGAGGCGCGGCTGACAGGACCGAGCGCTGGGCGCGGCCCGCCCGGCCTCACCTGGAAGTGCTCCTGAAAACGAATGGGGAGGATCTGCGCCATGGCTGGCGCCGGACCGAGGCGGCAGCGGCGGCGGCGGCGGCGGCGGCGGCGGCAGGGATGGCCACCGAACTCTCTCGCGGGCTGACAGGTGGCGGCGGCGCAGGCGCAGTTCCCCGGTCCCCTACCCCGCCCCCCTGCCCCGTCCCCTACTCCGCCCCCCTGCCCCGTCCCCTACCCCGCCCCCCTGCCCCGTCCCTACCCCGTCCCTACCCCCGTCCCTACCCCCGTCCCCTACCTCGCCCCACAGCCCCGTCTCCTCCCCCCGTCCCCTACCCCTCCCCCGTCCCCTACCCCTCCCCCCTGCCACTTCCCTACCCCGTCCCC